GATCTAATTGGTCCAAACCAAATCTTAATTTAATATCCAACATTCTAATACCTATCACAATGATTCTCGATAATTAAATTCAATCCAACACTTCGAAGACCAATAGACATGCGTCTATTGTGTTTTTAAAATTCCTTCAAACAAACCATTCCAAACTAATAACAAATATGCAACGAATATTTAATTTTTTACAAATCAAATGAAAAAGTAAAAAGGAGAAGTAAAGTCTAGCATATGATGTATATTTATTTAACTTCTAAAATACGATACTCATATAATGTTCGTATTTTCTAGCACATGGAATGCAAATAACGTACATTGGCCTCTCAACTGGAAAAAAAATGGATATAAAGTGGATAAGTGCACCATTTTGTAACAAGTTACAAGGACTTTAGTTTAGATGCTTGTCAATCGATAGATCCTATCCCTGCAACTGACCACTGTTGGGATCAGTATAACTTCTTGCTTTCTGTCAGAGCAACATATTTTATTTTTTGAGTACTGCTGAAGGGTTAAATCACTTTTGGATTTACAATTATACTTCTGCGGAAATGAAGTAGCAAGCATAATTGCTCAAAAAATTGATACTTTAGCTCTAAACTGCCCCGTGCAACTTCTTTTGAATCTACTGCTTCAAATAATCATAGAGGATATATGAAAACTTTAAGGTTATTGGGCCCGGACATAGCCCGGGCTCATCGTACCTAGTCCCTGCGTATAAGAAAGCTTCTTCTTTCTTATAGACTCAGAATTTTGCATCACATTCACATCAATCTACTTTGTTGGACGTTGCATCCGAACCAACTATTTTTCATGTAGAACATAGATTTATATATGAAATCTACTAAAATTTAAAATATTAAATCTGAATTCATAATGTTAAAAGTAGAAAGAGTTCAATGCTAAGAATCTTACACGTCGAATTTATTAATTTGAAACGTTGAATCCATTTGTCTTTGACTATAGGTAACTATCCATAATGTCACGACCCAAACCGAGGCACCCGGTGCCTTACTCAATCAACTACCAACGTAACATATCTTTCTTATCGTACTATCATTGGTAACTGGGCCAACATGGCCACAACGCGTAATGTATAACTATAACTGGGAAAGCACTGTATCTATGAACCATCTTTCTTAAAACATGAATAAATATGGGCCGTCAAGGCCTTTGACATACTGTACAAAATAAACCTCCGTCCACAAAGCCTCTAAGAGTATTTGACATCAAATGGGACAGGGTACCGGTCTACCCATAAGTCTGTAGCAAAATTCTGACACGATGACTCATAGACTCCGCTGTAGTCTTACCGATCATTCGCTGAATTCTAACCTCGTTACTATGAGGGCTCGTCAAACTGATTGTCTATACCTGCAGGCATGAATGCTGTGTCCCCAACAAAAGGACGTCAGTACGAATAATGTACCGAGTATGTAAGGCACATAAATAAGTATATAAAAGACATGGAAGAAACTTAGAGTAAATGACTCAACCTGTAAGTCTGGATAACTCTGTAAATCATGAAATACTTATAGTGTCATGCATATGCGTATGAATGTCATGTCGTGCATAGGTACATGTGTTCATAACATCATCAAGCCTCTGAAGGAATCCCATCATATCATATCGGCCACTATGGGCAAAATCATCAACGTATACCAGCTGATCAGGTGGTGGTGTGTATATAATGCCGTAACCTTTTCCCATATATATATATATATATACACGTATATATATATATATATATATATATATATAAGTAAAATGTAGAAGAAAAAGATGGGGCAAAAATTAGGCATTTACAATCTTAAAATAAATTATATATTTGAACTCGTGGGGTTATCGGTGATCGGGTTTTGGTCCGAGCCTCGAGTTGGGACCATGTGGTCCCGGGGTCGAATTTTGGTATTTTTGGAAGAATGCTAGGAACTTCATATCTAGGCTATGGGATTTTGTTATTGAGTCGTTATTGATATTATTGAATTAATTATGCCTAGATATCGTGGTTTCGGAGTCGGATTATAAAGGAAAGGCGGTATTTGAGGGTTGATTGCTATTCTTTGGACCGAGGTAAGTGTTTGTTCTAACTTTGGCTTGAGGGAATAGGATTAGAGTGTTGTTTGCTATTTGCTAATTGTCGAGAACGGTGTATAGGCATGGTGATGAGTATCTATACGCTGGAGTCTAGCATGAACGTGAGTCTCATTGGTGTTTGTTCGGATTCTGTGATACCTCTTCCTTGTTAAATTGATAAGTTTCATAAAACGTGAAGAGTTTGAGGATGAATTATGATTTGTACACTCTTGGAGCGTTTGCTCGAATGAGAATATTACAATTGAGTAAGAAGTGCTCAAAATAGAAAGTGATCTAATTATTCCCTTATCGGGACGTGTAGTTTATTATTGTTGTTGCTCCCTTGCCGGGATTTAAGTATTATATGTGTTCTACCTTGCCGGGATAGTTGAGTTGTTAGTTGTACCCTTGCCGGGACTTAGCTGTTACTTGTTCTCCCTTGCCGGGATGTTTAATATTGTTTGTCTATCCCCTCGCCCTGTTTGGTTGTGATTGTTGTTTGGGTGAGGAAGAGTGTTAATGCACGAAAGGTCATTCCGTGCCATGTTTGAATGTTAATGCACGAAGGATCAGTCCGTGCCATGTTTGAATATTATACACGAAGGGTCATTTCGTGCTATGTTTTGATCATTAATGCACGAAGGAACATTGCGTGCCCTGATAGGAGAGTTTATGTGAGGAAAAGCACGAAGGTAAATGCCGTGCACTTTACTTGACCGTCTTGGTGAGAATGAGAGTAAAAGCACGAAGGTTGGTGCCGTGCAACTGTTGATTATCCTGTTTTCCTTAGTTGTTGTAATTGTACAGTTTCTTTTCTCTATCTACTGATTTTATATCTGAACTGCCACACCCCCCATAGCATGCTCCATGTCCCTTTAACTGTTTAATTTCTGTACTCTTTTCCCTTGTACATATATATATCTGCATAGGTTATTTTTGATAGGTCCTGTCTAGCCTCGTCACTACTTCGCCAGGGTTAGGCCAGGCACTTACTAGCACATGGGGTCGGTTGTGCTGATGCTACACTCAGTGCATCTTTTTGCACAAATCCAGGGGCAGCTTTTGGACCTCGGCAGCAGTATTGATCGGGAGCTGACTTCAGTCCAGGGACTTGCGAGGTAACCTAGCTGACGTCCGCAGGCCGGGGTCCCTTCCTATTGTACTTAGCTTGTTTTCTTTTTGTATCGAAACATCAGCAGTGTATCTCTTATTCAGACCTTGTTTGTAGTACTCTCTAGTAATTCGTGAGTAGTGACACCAGTTCTGGGTAGAATTGTATTTAAACTTCCGCATTTGTTTTCCACTTATCTATGTTTCAAGACTTCCGTTGTTATTTAAATGTCTCGTTTTGCTTATATTGTTGAAATATTATCAGAATATGTTTTAATACTTGGCTTGCCTAGTTTCAATAGTAGGCACCGTCACGACTCCCGATGGTGGGAAATCCGGGTCGTGACAGAGATTCACACAGAATAGCCAATGCAAACCATAGCAGTGTAATTAATCATATAATCAATTCAACTAATTAAATACACTTCCAAATTCTATACCAAACTGAAATAAACTATATATATTACACAGCAACCACATCTAGCTGCAGGTAGCAGAAGAAACAGAAAGAGGATATTTGAAAGTATTTGCATATTGAAAAGTGATCGACTGTCCTGGTTTGAGCGGCTTTCCATCATTAACAAGACAATCATTAAATTTAAGTCTTCTGAAAATTGTAGGATTTATTAATCTTGCTGAACTAAACCACTAAACCAGCCACAACTCAAGTGAATGTTGGAGATGCTACAACTTCCTTCTGAGACATAAACATTTTCGACAATGGCAGTGTATGTTGGAATGCCACTCGGTAGTGTCCCTGAGGCACTTTGGTTTACTAGGATGTTGTCTTTTGAACATGATGTTGGCCCGATTCTCTTCTCTGTTCAATCATCCAAAAATAAAAAAAAATGATGCATTCAAATAAATGATCTTCTTTAGAGTTTTCGAAAATATAATTTATTAGAGGCGGATCAAAGATTTGAAAGTTAAACAAGATTCTTAACACTAAAACGCATCTTGCTTAAGCTAATGTAAATATGGGGTGTGAGATGCAAATGGGGAAGTTAAAAAAGAGAAAAAACAATAAACCTAAATCATCGCACTTCTGACCGCTTAAACTAAATATACTCGATTAATATATAACGTATGAAAAATTCATGTCTAGTCTATGTATACCGACTATAAACAATGAATCCGGCAAAGATCCCTAAAGAAAATGCAGAGTTCGGACTGAAAATCAAAATATAATCCGTGTTTGCAAAGTCATTAAAAAATAACCATTATTTTGCTAAAACAAAAAGAGTTCCAGTACAATATGCGAGATTATGGAGCTCCTGCGTATAAACTTCCAGCATATTATGTTGGAACTCCAGCATATGAAAAGTCCTAGCATAATATAATGGATTATAGAGCTCCTGTATATAAATTTCCCGTATATTATGTTGGGAACTCCAACACACTATTTTAGAATCTCATATGTAAATTGTATTTCCGGATTTTTAAGGGTGTTTCTGTTCAAATTTTATCTTTATATGAAAAAGTGATGACTAAATTTCCATTACTTTTGAAACTGTAGTTATTTTTTAATTATTAGTTATAAATATGGCTATTTTTAATTTTTTCCAACAACTAGTTAAGGCACTTTGGAAAAACATAGGGTCACCGGTATATAGGCAAAAGCTCTCGTGGAACCTTTTTCTATTATTATTGAAGATTTAATTAAATAGCCGACTACTTGATCGCTTAAACTAAAAACAGGCCGTATATGTATACTATATATGCATCATTTATATACAATGTATATAATCATGTATACAACCATACTAGATATGGTTGCCCGCGCTATGCACTGGCCCAAAAGGAACATCAACACGTCGAATATAGGCTCTAAAATTCCATTCATTCAGCTGAAATAATATGATATAGGAAAAATTGCAAATGTCTCTTTGGGTTTCTCATCTAAACACGCCCATATTTGAATTAAATCGCCACATTTGTCTTCCAACCGATTGACTGATCATTTCTAGTCAAACTACTACATATGAACACATGAATGCTTTCACTAATTTGGATATCAAAGATACCAAATCAAAACATTCTGTCCATCTCCCCGTGGAGTAAGCGGATCAATGACCAGAATCCAAATTCCCAAAAACATTTTTCAGAAATGAGAACTGTAGTTTTTCCCCACACGAGCTGGCAGAAAAACCTATTATTGGCTTGTGCAACATCGATCCAAGTCTTCCATATCTATTTTATCAGTGATCAAAGTCTTTCGTATGATATCAATCACCACTGCTACTCGTGCCTTAGGTTGGATTTTCTTGCAGGTAGAAGCATTTTCATCTAATATGTCCAGCTTTGGAACATCAAACAAAAAGTTTCTGGCTATGCTTCTCACTTCCATGCCTACAGCTAGCTCAATACTCACAACCTTCAAGACCCTCTCTTGTTAGCAGACTACATTGTGTATCCAACACGGACAAAAAAAAAAGCTCTAATGAGCATAAAAAGTGGATATACAAGAACCATCAACATACTTTTTTTATTTGTACAAGGAACAACACAATATCTGTTATGCCTTCAGTAAATATCAAATACTAAACACGAAAAGAGGGAAAACGAGCAATCTTCACCAACAGAGACATAAAATTAAGCAAGAGTAATTGATGAGAGTAAGTTGCAGAGCCGAGCAAGGCTAAATATCGTGTTTTGACTAAAACTTGCAAATAAGGTATTTCAAATGAAGCAAATTTAACAACAGAACTTCTGACAATATAGAAACTTTGAGACAGTAAGATCAAACATCTTCTAAAATAAGTAACCACTGTACATATTTCAGCATTTAATTTTGTATTGTGATTTCTACAACTTCATTATTTTGATAAAACAAAATGTAAATATTCATTTGTTCATGCTCTAGACTCTCAGTATGTTTGTTGTTGTGAATAAGAACATGCAGGAAGATTTCCGACCACTATCTTTCTATATAAATTAATAACAACATACATATCTTTCTTTTATCTCTTTCTCATTTACCTGGGATGAACTTGTCATCATTTATTCATCAGATTCATTCTCAATTTTTGTAAATTTCTTTACAAATTACGTGTAAGAGTATTTTTATTTATATTTGGAACACATATGAAACATTGTATGTTACTTTTTTGTGTGTGTATGTGGGAGGAGGGGTGTTATGTGAGGTTATTTGTACTTGGGACTCTCCCTAATAATGTTAATTATAGCATTGCAGACCTATACTATTTCAATCACCATGCAACCACTAATCTCTTTGCATGCTTTTAAAGATTAATATCTAAATATAATATGTGGTATGATGGAATATGACAAAATAGACTAACCTTTGTTGCGACTTTTATTGCATTAAACTATCTGACCTATCTCAAGTAAGAACCATAAGCATGTGAGGCTTACCTGGTCCAAGACTGAAGGATGAAAGAATAAAATATATGAAAAGGTAATATGCAGTAAAAGCACAGTGATCGAATTCATTTTAGTCGAGCTTCAGAGAGTATTTTACTAAGTTGAAGTTCAAACCCAAACCTTAAACAACTGCCAAATACGGGGAATTATGTAGATATCCATTCATATCTTACTAAACACTAAAAATGCTTTTGATTTTTTTCATTCTCGATATAATATAAAGATATTCGCAATAAATAGTACCTCAACGCAGTAGTCGTTGATTTTTTTTGTTTTTGAGTAAGTGTAGCTGTCAAATATTTTTCTATGCACTGTTTTTCAGTATTATTGTAATCAATAGTATTACCAAGTAAATTCATTTGAATAAAACTTGAATTAGCTCAACATTGTATCATACAAAAAGTAAATGGAATAAACAGATGGAAATCAAAATTATAGTCTTTAGAAACCAAAAAGAATAAACTTTGTAACAAATAGAAAGCAAATGGAAGCGATACTCAAAGGACAATAAAAGAAAAAAGGGAAGCAGTAAATAAGTACTTGGGAACATAACTTCCATGTCCTTTATATATAATTTAGGGTCCTATAATGCTCCATCAGTTTCCTCCGGCCGATTTTGCAAAACACCATTACCAACATTCCATAAGAAATATTAAAAATGGAGGAATGGAAAAAGAGATGTAAGATACTTGTTAGTATAAAAATCAATTTTGTACTGATTAATTATACAAGAAACTATTTGATAACCCCATTCACACAAGGCACAATAAGCACACACAACAATCAACATGTGACAAATACGACAACATTAGAAAGAAAGAAAAAACCTCAATTCCACTCAAGGGAAAACGCGAGAATACTGGATTCTCGACCAAATAGTATGCTCTAATGAATATTTTAGCACTGGCAGAAAATCCTTCAACTCCTCTGCCAGAGTTGAGCCAATGATCAACATATTAAGAAAATTACAAAAGAATATCTTTCAGCCATAACTCAAACTACACTAATGCTCCAGAAACTTGATGTTTAAGCCTAGATCTCAGTCACTTGAATAACTTAATGTTTAATAAAAAGGTAAAAGAAGAACCTCATGAATGGTAGCCCGAAAATCTCAAGCCATAAATATATACAACAACAACTACCCAGTAAAATCCCACATAGTGGGGTCTGGGGAGGGTAATGTGTACGCAGACCTTACCCCTGCCCCGATAGGGCAGAGAGTCTGTTTCTGATAGACCCTCGGCTCAAGCCATAAATATATATAAAGCACAATCATCTTGCAATATAATTAAACACACAATATTAGAACAAAAAGGTGCAGAAATAACCTCTTATAGTCAAAGCAGTTTTCCTTTTTCCCCACCTTGAGCGACTTCCACTTTCAAAAGCCTGTAATAAGCAGCTAGACTCAAAAGTTAAAGATCAATCAGGTTCCCTGAAAAAAAAAATCAGCTCAAATTAATCTTCAAGAAAAAATCAACTAAAATTCATCTTAGAAAGAAAACATCGAAATAGTGACAAAACTATACAGCTTAATGAAAATCTCAAGAATATTGTTCGATGTAATTAAATTGATTGATGGTAGGAAAATAAAACACGCATGAGAAAATTCGACAAAATATCCAATTGGTGCAGTTTACATATTTGTTACCTAAGCACTTTGGCCATTTCACTGATGGAATCTCCTGTTCTATGTCTATAATTTCTTATTCCTTTTTCTCATTATTGTACATCATAACTTCATACTCATTCGGTTGAAATTTGATGCAACTATAATATACAGAACTTCTTTTCTGCTCGGTCCTTTGTGAGCTCATTTTGAACATAAGTATTATGATTAAAGGATGAATCATGAATGCATAATTCATATTTGTAATCCGAAAAAATGCTCTGAAGAACAGATACACATTTTTAATAAACTTACCTTTAATGAGAACACTAAGGAATAAATCCTGAAAAACGCATTTATTCATACAAACAAAACAAAAAAGACAGAAGCAATGTAACTTGAATAGGGTTAATTGCATAAGGAGTAGAGAAATGATAATCAGAAAATATGAAAGTTGCTAATGAAGAAACCATAATCACCAAGATTAAAATACTTATAAAATTTATAAACTGCGACATACGACAAGAAGTCCGAAGGGAGTCAAAGACTTACTTGACTTCGTAAAATTCTCCTCATTCTTCCTGTACAACCCCCACAAAAACATCCCTGCAAAATTTCAGCAATTAATATCAAGAGCAAAATGCATACATTTGTAGTCTAGAAACAGGAATTAATGGCATACAATGGGAAAAAACCAACAAAGAAACCTAGACAAATAGCTTAAACGGTTAAACCAATGTCCAAATTTATAACACCAATGATACCCTCGGCGACATTGCATAAAAATTTCTAGAACAGTCTACTGGTGAACCTGCATCCACAGACTTGCCGCCGAAAATCAATATTAAATCTGTGATAAATAGCTTTTTCAGGTTAGCCTTTTCACCTCGTCATTTCTGAGTTTGCTGCTCCTCTTCTGCAATTACTGGCTCCACTGAGTCCTTTTTGCACTTGAATCCTCTTGCATTTTTAACCCCCTTTGGAGATACTGGAAGACTCAATCTTCCAACAACAAGCTTAATATATAAATTTTTGCACAGAAGTTTCAATTTTAAGTAATTAATTAGTTTCAAAAGGCGAGAAGACATCAACGTGCATTCAAAAATAATACACAATTACATGTATCAGCTATCTAATTTCAAACACGCATGTGCATATCAGATAATTACTGACATTCATGTAAGATATCTAGCAAGAAATTATGAGAAAGATTAAGAACACCAAAATTGAAGCAAAAGTGCACAAAATTTCAAAGGAATCCAAAAGGGATGGCTAAAAATCAGTGCAACAAAGGAAGAAAAGGGAAAAGCTTACCAGAAATAACAAATGAAATAGAGGTTAGAAAAATTAGAAATCACAAATGGGCTCATTTGGGAAGTTGATACCCACAACCCTCTCACAAAACTGCTGATTTTAGCTCCATTGTTGCTTCATATAGAAAGCTTGAGGTAAACCATTATAAATATCATAGTATGGCATACTATGTTGCTTTCCCTCAGAGTGTTTGCTCTGCATTTTGTAAAGCTACTAATCCTCGTCATTGTAGACAAAATCTTCCTCTTTCTAGCCACTTCACCAATAATAATCTTTGTTTTTAAGTTTTGAATTGTTAAGGAATCTATTATCTTAATAAGGGTATATTAGTAGCTTACATCAATATAATCTGTATATTATTTTAACAGCATAATAGTATATAATATAAGGTATAAAACCATTATAAATGATATGCAATAACAATCCAAACATGAAATCATTCTTTGTCAAGCTTGAATTTCTCCAAATCTTTAGTTATATGTAATATCTAAAGGGGAATACAACATTGTCACCTGAAGGGCTACATTTCGTAATTTTAATATTTAGTTTATTCTTGGAGTAGACACATCCCTACATTATATACATGAAATGTAAAGCACAATCATTTTGCATTATAATTACCCACGCAACATTAGAACAAAAAAGTGCAGAAATCGCCTCTTATAGCTGAAATAGATTTCTTTTTTCCCCATCTTGAACGGCTTCCACTTTCAAAAGCCTGTGATAAGCAGCTAAAATCAAAATTCAAAGAGCAATCAGGTTCCCAAAAATCTAACTCAAATTAATCTTCAAGAAAAAATCAACTCAAATTCATCTTAGAAAGAAAACATTGAAATAGTGACAAAACTATACAGCTTAATGAAAATTCCAAACTGTCCGGTGTAATTAAATTGATTAATTGCAGAAAAATAAAATACACATGAGCAAATTCAACAAAACATCCAATAAAAAACTACCCAAAAGCTCAAGATGTCCAAAAATTCTTTTCTAAAAAAATTGATTTAAAGACATGCATGGCTGAGAATACAAAGAAAATTTAAGAAAATAGAGAAAAATTCAAGGAAGATTATATTAGATTATGAAATGATGTAATTTTACAACTTTAGGTACCAAGAAATGACAAGAGGGGTTGCTCTGATGGTAAGCAACCCCCACTTCCAACCAAGAGGTTGTGAGTTCGAGTCTCCTCAAGAGCAAGGTGGGAAGTTCTTGGAGGGAAGGATGTCGGGGGTCTATTTGGAAACAATCCTCTCTACCCCAGGGGTAGGGGTAAGGTCTGCGTACACACTATCCTCCCCAGACCCCACTAAGTGGGATTATACTAGGTTGTTGTTGTTGTTGTAGGTACCAATTCAAACACAAAATAAGCAAATATATCAACTACATGTAAAAGGTAAAGAGCAACATAAATAGTTATTAAATTATCACCAAACACCAGGCTACAAGTCTATATGTACTCTTGCTGAAACTCCCATCATGCACAGAATCCGTATAGAGAACATGAAGAAAGACCGCCAAAAAGTCAGTAAAAAATCCATTCAGAATTCGGCGAATGAAGCATAAAAATAAATAATAGTTGCTGACATAGATTATTTGAACCAACAGTCAAGACTCCTAATATTTCTTAATTCGGTCTTCTTGATTTATTCATGGTATGTAAGTAATTAGAAACAATTTCCACCTTCAAAAGGCCCAAAACATTAAAGATAAAGAATAGTAAAAAACCAATAAGCAAAGGAGAAGAAGAAGAACAACAAAACTCACCAAAAGAGGAAAGAAGACAGCAGAAGAAAAGATGGAGCGAAATATTTTCTATGGAATTCCAAAAGGGAAGTTGTAAAATCCCCAAAGCAGGAATGCATACATGTTCCTAAATCGTAAGTAACACCACAAAGTGAAGCCAGCCATCACGCAAATAAGAAACACGTGTCAGTGAAAAGACATCAGAACTAATTGAGTTAAATGACAGTTTTACCCTTGGTCGTCCAAAAACCTTCACTTATTATATAGTTAAAATAAAAAATAACCGTGTATATAAAGATCTCAACTTTATTTGGAGCAAGCAAAAGATTCTTAATTATCACAAAATAGGAATAATTTTAATGAGGGATTTATGTCTTACCAGGCAGGTCTAGTAATTCCTTAGCAGGAGTGATAATATATTTTTGCATGGGAATTAGGGCTCTTTCTTGAATAGCACCACCTTCCTTAGCTAGTTCCAATGCATGATTTATTTGAATCACTGTAACATAAAAAGATATTACTAATAATAAGAACACTTGAACATTCAAAATAGTTAGAAAAATTAATTGTAATCAAGAGGAAAAAATTCCCAAAATATTAAACAAAGAAAGATCCTACTTAAAATCTAGGATACATGTATGGTTAGCAGTTTAAATGCAATAACCAAAGCTAAGAAAATTCCGACTTACACTTCTTTTCTGGCAATTTTTTTTTTTGTTAAAATTATATACGAAAAAGGGCCAAAATTGCCCCTAGACTATTTGAGTTGGTACAATAATGCCCTCCGTCCACCTATTTTGAAAAAATTGCCCTCACCGTTATCTTTTGCGGCTCAAGAATGCCCTTACGACTAACGACCATGTTAGATAAAAAAAATTAATTAATTTCCACATGTCATAACAGAAAAAAGGTCAAAACTACCCCTAGACTATTGGAGTTGGTACAATAATACCCCCCATCTCAAAAAATTTCTCCCCCCCACCCCCTCCACCCTCCCCACCCCCCTTCTAGCGTATGTGCGCGTTCATATTCTTCTTGTTCTTCTCATCCTTTTTTTGACCTTGCACTCTATTTGAATAATCACTACAAACATCATTAAAGTTTTATTTTCAGACAACCAAAATTTTTTGTCACCAATGCTTTGCGTCATACAACTTTTAAAGACCCTGTTAGGCAAAAAAAGCTTAATTAATTTCCATGTGTCATCATCCCATTGGCCTAACTTAAGACTCACCTAAATTAAAATAAACACACTCACATTCAAAGACCAGTAGCTTAATTTATGGACATGGTCGAGTGTTCAGACTATGGTAAGCCAATGAAGAAGAAAAAGGTCGAGGTCCGAGCAGAAACCATAATCATTGGTATAATCAAAATTGGATGCAGAGTTGTCAGGAAATATACAACAAAAATATTGCAAATGCTCAATGATCATTATTGTTGACACTCTGTTAGTGTTCATATATTCAGGTGAAAGTTGTATGACGTAAAGTATTGATCATATGATTTCAATTAACTCTTAAAAGCTACATGGTGGCACAACAAACATAATGTTGGCAGAAAAATAACTTATTAAACCATAAAATCTTACAATGAAGCATTAATTTCAAAGAGTACCATATTTCACTCAGAAAATTGATTTAATAAAACATGTTAATTTAAGAATTAAATTATGGCCGAAAATCTGAGATGGAGAGGGAGATCTGTGGGTGTTGAAGGGTGAAAATCTAAGATGGAGTAGGCTAATAAGTGGATATGGGGTGAGGTTTTAATTTAAGCCAATAGGAAATTAATACATAATAAATAATAATTTTTTTTCTTAATCAAAATAGGGCTGTTAGTTTTTAGGGTATGAGTGGGCCGAAAAGTTGACGTTAGGGGCATGAATAGGCCAAATTTTTAACGGTGAGGGTAATTTTTACAAAATATGTGGACGGAGGATATTTTTAAACTTAAGCTAATAGGTTAGGGCCAGTTTTGGCCCTTTTCCGAATTATATATGGAAGCTGCAGAGGTTATAGGGGCTTGAATTTTTGTGGTTTAATTAAAGATTTAACTAGTATGTTGTAAATAATTTTTAACATTGTCACGTCAATTCACTTGGCTCAAGACTCAAGTACATTGTTCTCCTATACAGGTACCCTCCAGGTCATGGTGATGTTTTCACTTTTCCCTGCTTTGGCGAATAGTGGAAAGCTTGATGCACTACTAGCAAAGGTTTTGGTGCTCATAATTATTGCCTTCTTCTGATATTTTTACATTTACTGTTTGCCTGAAATGTTGCCTATTAATTATTATATCTTTCAATCTGAATATGTCTTTGTTGCATTGTTGATTTGAGTATCCTTGCTATGAATTTTCATTGTTAATTACGCTACAGTTCTTTTGTATATATTTAATGACATCTCTCAATGATGAAAGATTTTCTCAGAAAAGCTGTTGTCAATTGTCATGTAAAGTGCATTGTCTTTTCCTTAATTTTGCATTGCAGAAATCCTAAATCATTTGATCCAAAACAAGAACGAGTATTGCATGGAGGTATTGACTTGATATTGTTCTTTTAGAACTGCATCTTCGTAGGTGAAAATAGTATATAGTTTCTGCGATGTTACAGCTTGATGAGTATTGCAGGTTACACCCAAAACTTTAGCTGATGTCAAAGGTGGCACCCTAGCTAATCTCATATGAAGGAAAAGTACAGGTAATGCAATTTATGTTCGGTTTTAGATTCTTATCTTTGAAGCTCAGAAGCAATTCCGGTCCATGTATCATCTGGAGCACATAGATGTTTCGATAACAACCTACAAACAAGTATAACTAAACTACCTAGATCTGGTGTACTTCACTTGAACAGCTAAAGTATGTCTACAGGAGAAGGTCTGGGGTCATGCTTTGTGTCCTAACCCTTCATATTGCTACCTCCCAAGTTTGGACATGGCCCCATGAAAAGTCAGTAACCGTAAAGTTAAATATAGTTTGGCGATGTCCTTGTATGAGATCTTACTCAAGGAAAAGCACACGCCAACTCTGAGGCTGGATCTTGCTGTTAGGCATTAATCCTATGCAGCGTTGCGGCATTGGGTTCATTGGAGACCAATAGTTTTGATATTTTTAAATGGAAAATACACAAATTGCAAGTTTGCAATAAATAGTAGATCCGGACCCATTATTTTAACAGTACATTGTTTAATGCTAAGAATCTTAAGGTTGAACTTAAGAAGGTGAATTTGGTCTTTAGTCTTGGTGATTTCAGCTGTATCCATAAGTACACATCTAATTAAACTAACTTAATTTGCTGCCTCCAATCATAATTAAAAAGTTATTTCAATTTTCTCCTGTAGCTAATCATATATAGCTGAGATCTTTTAAAAACAAATCATTTTGAATTGCATATAGAAAGTCCTTCAGATGTGCTGGCACTCATTTTAATTTTCTTGCTTCCTGAGAGACTCAGGGTAGTTGTGGCACTGCTTGCATGTCTTTTGCATCATATCTGTGTGTTATTTTTGCACAAATTGCTTATTAAACTTGTCTTTTGTGTGGTGCTGCAGCTTTTGGAAATAGCACAAGTGCCTGATGATCATGTGAGTTGTATCTTCTGTTTCTTCCTCGTTTTTCCTTTTGCTGCTTTATATGTAATAGTGATTAAAAGGCAAGTGACTTAGGTTTATAATACAGTTCTCTAATTGGACTAGAATCTATTATTGAAATGTATATATCCATCTACATCTCCGTTATATATGTAGCTAGTGTCAAGTTGCAAATGTTCATTTATTCTGGTATGTGATCCTTGTGTAGTTTGATGTTCAACTTTCACTTGCTTGATGCAGGTCAACGAATTGAAAAATTTAAAATTTTCAACACCAACAACTTGTAAGTCGGAATAGTCTTATGGCCTACTCTAAGCTTTATATTGGGCACTTCCTTGTCAATGAAGCATCATGTGCTGACTGAATCCTTACTGTTGTGCAGGTGGGTGAACCTGAATGATATTAAAAGACTTGTAGAAGCAGATGCACTCAAGATGGAGATTATACCCAACCCTAAGGTATCAGTTTCTGCTTGTTTAGCATGCGTCCAAGGTGGACGGGGTCAAGGTTCTTCAACTTGAAACTGCTGCTGGTGCTGCAATTAAGTCTTGATATTTTTTGTATTCTTGGTGATCAAGATTACTCATTACCATTTTATTCCACCAGTTCTTAGACCGGGCTATTGGTGTTAATGTTCCTCGATCTCGTTTCCTTCCGGTGAAAGCAACTTCAGATCTGCTGCTTAATTGCAACCTGGGATTGTGTTGATTTCTGATAATATCCAATCCAATTAGCTCAAGTGATATGTAGTGTGCTCATTCATCTTTTTGTCTTTGCAGTCTGATCTTTACACCTTGACTGATGAAGGCTATGTTATCCGGAATCCGGTCAGGTCTAATCCAGCTATCGAGTTGGGACCTGAATTCAACAAGGTTAACATCAACTCCTCAAGTAGATTAGTGCTGTTGGCTGAATGCAGTTACTATCTTGTCTTCTTAGGTGGCCAACTTCTTAGGTCGTTTCAAGTCTATTCCCAGCATCATTGATCTAGATAGCTTAGGGTGATGTATGGTTTGGATCTGGAGTTACTCTTAAGGTAATTAGCAAATATTTGTTCTGTTTCGCTTATGCTCCCATGTTGACGACAATATTATCCTATTTTTGTTTGTGTTAATTTCTGAATCTAATAGCGACTTACATCTTCTGACTTTCCTGTTGCTGCTAGAAATTCCAGATGGTGCTGTGATTGCAAACAAGGTAATACAGTCATCTAAACTCCTAATGGAGCTAGCAGATTTAGATTTAACGCCGTTACATCAATTTCCAGGATATCAATGGACCTGAGGATATATAGAGGAGCTACTGGTGCTAAATAGATTTAGCGAGTCTGCAGCAAGTACATTTTGTTTGTACTGAATGTAATTTTGCCTCTAAATTTAAATAAGTGAACAGTTTTGATTGTTTGCTACAGAAATCTTCATTGTATACATTATGGAACTCGATATAGTTTGTTTCTTCATATTTCTGTAGCCATATTCTTCTAATGTCCGTACTGTTGGAGCTGTGATACCTTATTGTTAACTTTTCACTTAAAAAAAAATAGTATATGATAAATCTCCTATATGTTTGAAGTAACATCAACAGATGTTTTCGTTATATGATTTTCTGGGATCTTTTTATTCTATTCAAATTTTAAGTGGCTTTTGTTGGATTTTCTTTATTCTATTCCAATTGTAAGTGGCTTGAGAGATAATTTTCGTCTCAAAACTTGTCGACTGGGTAAGATGGTTGGGTTTCAATGCATAATATGCAATTATGCATACGCCTAGTGCAATTAATCAATCAACCTACACTTCAATTAGAGACCAATTGAAATCCAATTATATAAAACTTCTATATCCCTGATAATGTGCTATAAATCAATAAACTAACTACACTTCAATTGGAGATAAATTGAAATGAACTAATATAAAATTTCCATATCTACCTAACCCTATTCAAGCATATATATATTGCGGAAGCCAAATGTATATAGTGTGAATGAGTCACAACTACTATACCAAAAAAATATGGCAGCCACTAAATAATAAATAAGACAATAAAGCAACAATAAAAGGAACACCAGAATTTACAAGGTTCAGCCAACTTTGCCTACTCCTCGGACACAACCAATATTTTATTCCACTCCAAAAATACAAGTGAAATACACTAAAGAGAGAAGATACAAATGCCTTAAACAGATAAGAAGGCAAATGAGAGACGTATTTAAATCCTAAATATTAGGCCTTCTTTTATAGGGAAAATCCCAACCAAAAATCTTCTACCCACCGATGTGGGACAAATTTGTTTTTGACATTTTCAACAAATCTCCACCTTGGCAAAAATTCCACATCTTCAATTTTCTCTCTATAACAAATTTTGGTTGTGTCTTCATCTTCAATTTTCAGTGTTCAACAATGTTGATCAAATCAAACAATGTTGAAACTTGACCGCAGTCACCACTTTTGTCAGCATATCAACAGGATTCTCTGTAGTATGAATTTTCTTCACTGTGACTCCACCTTCTTCTATGATTTCTCGTACAAAATGATATCGAACATCAATGTGCTTCGTCCTTGCATGATAAACTTGGTTCTTCGCTAATTGAATAGCACTTTGACTATCACAAAAACTTGTGATACTTTTGTTTCCAATACCAAGCTCCTTTAGCAACCCTTGAAGCCAAATTGCCTCCTTCACAGCTTCTGTATAGCCATGTACTCTGCCTCTGTTGTAGACAAAGCAACTGTTGACTGCAAAGTAGACTTCCAACTAACTGGTGCCTTTGCAAAAGTAAACACATAACCAGTAGTTGATCTTCTTTTGTCCAGATCACCCGCAAAATCTGAGTCACAATATCCAACTACAGACTGATTGTCTTCCTGCTCAAAAACTAACCCAACATCTACAGTATTATGAATATACCGTAGAATCCACTTCACAGCTTGCCAATGCTCCCTTCCCGGATTATGCATATATCTGCTAATAACTCCAACGACTTGTGAAATGTCAGGTCTCGTACAGACCAGTGCATACATCAAGCTACCAATAGCATTTGCGTATGGTACCTTTGACAAATACTCTCGTTCAGCTTCATCCTTTGGCGACATAGTAGTACTTAGCTTAAAATGGGGAGCAAGTGGAGTACTAACTGACTTAGTCTTGTCATCTATGCCAAAACGTTGTAGTACTCTCTTCAAATATTCTTTCTGAGATAAACAAAGTTTCTTTGAACGTCTATCTCTTATTATCTCCATGCCAAGAATTTTCTTTACCTCACCCAGATCCTTCATCTCGAACTCTTTCTTCAGTTGAATCTTCAACTTATCAATTTCTTCCAAATTCTTGGAAGCTATCAACATATCATCAACATATAGAAGAAGATATATAAAGGAACCATCTTTAAGCTTGCGCAAATACACACAATGATCGTATTTGCTTCTCTTGTACCCTTGCTGCAACATAAACTTGTCAAATCGTTTGTACCATTATCTAGAAGATTGTTTCAATCCGTACAATGATTTTTCAAGTTTGCACACCATATTTTCCTTTCCAGCAACTTTGAATCCTTCTGGCTGAGTCATGTAGATTTCCTCCTCCAAGTTTCCATGTAAATACGCAGTTTTTACATCCATCTGAACTAGTTCCAAATCCAACTGTGGTACCAAAGCCAACATAATTCGAATGGAGGAATGTTTTACAACTGGAGAAAACACTTCATTATAATCAATTCCCTCCTTTTGAGCATATCCTTTGGCCACCAATCTTGCTTTGTAGCGAACATCTTCTTGGTTAGGAAATCCTTCTTTCTTTGCTAATACCCATTTGCACCCAATTGCTTTTTTTCCCTTCGGGAGATTGGCCAATCTCCATGTATGATTCTGATGAAGGGACTGCATTTCATCATTCATGGCAATCCTCCACTTATCTTCTTCTGAACTTTGGACTGCGTCTTTATAAATGGTAGGAACATCATCAGCTACAATTGCGGTTGCACAAGCAACTGTCTCTATGAGACGAACAGGTTTCGTTATTGTCCTTTTTGGCCTGCTGGTTGCTATTGATTCAAGTTGTTGTTGAGGTTCCTGAGTTGGAATCACCTCTACTGGCTCTCCATCCAGTGAGTAATCTTCATTTGTTTCCTCCTCTGCTTCTTGTGTAGGAAAAATAAATTTTCCCTCAAACTCCACCTGCTTAGAAGCACCATCATCTTGTTTGGTATCTTCACTTGTTACCTTATTTACCATAGCAGATTCATCAAAAGTAACATCCCTGCTGAATATTACTTTCTTTGTCATAGGACACCATAAGCGATATCCTTTGACTCTAGAAGTAATCCCCATAAAAATAGCCTTCTTTTCCCTTGGATCCAATTTTGACTCTGTCACATGATAATATGCAGTCGAGCCAAATACGTGCAAATAGTCACAATCTACAGCAGGCTTTCCATACCATTTTTCAAACGGTGTCTTGCCATCAATAACAACAAATGGTAGTCGATTAATAAGGTGGCATGCATATGTAATTGCCTCAGCCCAAAATTCTTTGCCCAAGCCAGCATTGGACAACATACACCGTACCTTCTCCAGCAAGGTCCGGTTCATGCGTTCTGCCACTCCATTCTGTTGTGGTGTATGTCTGACAGTGAAGTGTCGGTCGATGCCATCATTTTCACAGACCTTATTGAAATGATCATTTTTGTATTCACCTCCATTGTCTGTGCGAATACACTTGATCCTCCTGCCTATTTGATTTTCCACCATCGTCTTCCATTTGAGAAAAATTCCCATCACTTCATCTTTGCTCTTCATTGTATACACCCATACTCTTCGGGAAAAATCATCAACAAAGGTTACAAAATAGTGCTTCCCACCCAATGAAGGTGTTTTGGAAGGACCCCTAACATCAGAGTGTACATAATCCAAAATGCCTTTAGTATTATGGATTGATGTACCAAATTTAACCCTTGTATGTTTCCCTTTGACACAATGCTCGCAAAACTCCAAGTTACAAGTCTTTATTCCTTTGAACAATCCTTGATCTGATAGAGTCTTCAAGGATTTTCCTCCAGCATGTCCCAAGCGCATGTGCCATAGCCTGGTTGCTTCTGCCACTTTGTCGTCACTGGACGTCACTGCCGATGTCCCAATAACTGTACTACCACGATAGCGGTACATGTTGTTGTTCTTCCGATTAGCCTTCATTACCACCAGTGCACCAGAGCATACTCTCATCACTCCATTTTCTGCAATGATTTTGAACCCTTTTGATTCTAGGGCTCCCACAGAGATAAGATTCTTCTTCAAATCCGCTACATATCGAACATATGTTAATGTTCTGATCATTCCATCATGGTTCCTCAATCGTATTGAACCAATGCCATATGAGGTAAGAGGGCTGTTGTCCGCTGTGTGGACGACTCCATATTCTCCTTCTTGAAATTCCACGAACCAGTCCCTATTGGGACACATATGATAGCTACAAGCTGAGTCCATCAACCATATGTCTGATGATGTTGATGGCTCTGTTGTAACTAATGAGAAGTCTGAATCATCACAATCAGCTACATTTGAATCCATAATGGCCTTTCCATTGTTATGTTTGGCCTTATTCTTCAACTTCGGACAGTCTTTCTTCCAGTGCCCCTTTTCTCGACAAAAGGCACATTCATCTTTGCTGGGTTTAGATCTTGACTTAGATCTTCCTTTCTTTGTCCTCGTTTGATTTTGAGGACGACCCCTCACAAACAGTGCTTCTACTTCTCCGCCCTTCTGTTTTTCTCGTTTTCTTTGTTCATAGCTATACAGAGCCGAACAAACTTCTCTGAGAGAAACTTCGTCATTTCCATGGAGTAGAGTAGTTTCAAGGTGCTCGTACTCATCAGGAAGTGACGCCAACAACATCAAGGCCAAGTCACCATCATCATAAGTTGCATCCATATTTTGCAAATCTGTGAGCAACTTATTGAAACTGGTGATATGTTCATTCATCGTGGTACCAGGAACATAGGTAAAGTGAAACAGTCTCTTCTTCATGTACAATTTATTTTGA